AGAGAGCTCTGCTTTCTACTTCCTGCCTTTGTCCTAACCGTTTTCTCGTGCCATCACACAAATACTTGTATCATCGTCTTACCTCAATCTATTGCTAATTTTAAATTGAGTGCACAGATCAACAGCCCACTTTTAACAAAGACTAGTGTAAGTCTCTTTCAGGGTTTAATAAGCGACGTGCCAGCATATGTTTTTCCTATTTTGTTTACTCATGCATATCTCACCCTTCTCATACACTCTTAAATTAAGTGAATTTGGTGCAGTGACTCTGCATCTTTCCTTTTCCAGCAGAGCCAGTCGACTCTGATGTGTAGAAATTGATTCAGTGCAGCAAAGTGAAACTGAAACCACTCTGCTATGTCTCTTTCCTCCCACATCCACATTCATATTATGGCTAAACAGCAGAACTTCTTTCTTATTGTGGGGAAAAAAAGCTTACTGAACTATAAAGTGATAAAGCAGTGCCTTGGACACCTTAAGCATCAAAAATGAATGTTATAATCCATTTATATACTTAAAAAAGCATGGAAAATAAATGAGTTGGTGGCTTTTTCCCCCCCACAAAACGGAGTTCCAATAACTTGAAGAATTTAGAGTTCAGAAAGAAAAATGACAGAAAAAGTGAAAGAGAATTTTCTCTCCTCAAGAACACAGATACCATGTCCATTTTTAGAAATCAGAGATGTTAGTAGTTGACGCAACTGTTATATGAACTGACTAATCTCAACAGATCCAGAGGGAAGGATATGCATTTTCTGCATTTAATGTATTCAAAACGGTTTGTGGAAATGTATCCCAGAGTTTCCAGAGCAATTCTGACCCATAATAGTGACCAATACAATAGACACTTTTATGGAAACTCTTTCTTAACTCCTTCTGCACAAGGTTATGATGAGTGCTAATGCACAGACAGATGACTGTTTTTTTTCCTCCGGTGTGTTTGTGAGCAATGGGTCTATGGGTGCTGTGATTAAATCTGGCAACGTGTGCTGGTGTTTGTGTCCTAAAGGCAGGATTTCCGGCCAAAGTGTTTATTGTCACAGTGAGCGTTGTTCTCAATCAAAACAGAAATAAAAGCTGGCAGCACTGTGCTATTTATAATGTGGATCAGACTCAGCTGCTGGTACTGTTCTCAATTACTCCACACAGACACTCCTTAACCAAACAGGAGGCAACAGTACTAAACACTTAACACTTCAAGTCTACAAACTGTGACACAGTCTCTATTTCCAAAGTCACTTCTTGAAAATAATTAAAACATAGTAACATTTACACATAAATTTTATATTGTTCAGTTTCATATTACTGCTTTAAATTGTCAGTATCAGTCAGCCAAGTATCATTGGCTAAAATACAGAACCATGAGTTACTCCCAATAGATGAATGAGAGACACTGTAAAAGTGCTCAAGCAGAGTGCAAACACACACAATAAGAACCTAGAAAACACATCAAATACGTAAACTGAGATATTTCATTATTTCTAATCTCTCCAAATATTATTGGTCCAAACATATCAGGCTCTGAAAACTACATGGGCGATTGGTTGTTCATGTGACCATAACTCCTTAAACTTTGAGCTGACTTTAAAAAATACATGTCCACACACACAGTGAAGGTCTAAATCTAGGTTTCCTATACGTGTCTGAAAACCCAGAGGGCTGTACTATTCTATTCTCAGCTCATAATAGAAATGTGCCAAGCTGAACCGGGAAGTTAATACTGTGCCACTTCCTCTCTGCAGGTTCCAAACTGTGGCACCAGCACTTGGGAGATTTCTAGAGTTGACACGCACAACACATACACATTCACACATGAATCAAATGTAACCTCTCAACCTTTCTGTGGAAGGGTGGAGATGTTTTTTTTATATCCCACAAGAACGGAGGCACTCTTACGTAGGTAATTTGTGTGTGTGTGTGTGTGTGTGTGTGTGTGTGTGTGCACTTGCTTGGGTGTGTAAAGTTGAATTAATGGTTTTATTGCTCTCTGTTTGTGTTTGTGTTCTCAAACTTGGTGATCGCTGTAGGGAAAACAGGAAGGCAAACAACTTTTGTCCGAGTGTGTGTGAATGGAGACAATGTGAGTGTGTGTGTGTGTGCATACTGGGAATACATGTATTAAAAATATTAATTGTACTCCAGTTGCAGCCAAAGATATGTGACCAATGACCTTTGGTTTCCAAAGGGTCTGGAAATTTTTAGACAACCAGACTTGCATGTTTAGAGCGCTAAAAAAAGTGTCCACGCAGAAAGAAATTCGCAGAAACGTGGCGACTAGAGACTAGAGAAATTCAACAACATCAGTGACTTCAATTTACTATGCTATCAGGGCACTGTGAAGTGGGAAGGTTCCAAATATAGACAGTATGTATAGACGACTGACATAAGTACTGTGACATCACCCACTGGCTTCTGAATTTCTGTTTTGAAGCCTCGAGATGACTGCTTCCACCCTAACCTTGTTGGAAAAGCTAAGATGAGACAAACAAGTGTTGATCTGACTGTAAAAGCCAACACTCATTGGCTAATGACTCGTGATTGACAAGTCATAAGTGAGCATGTGGTTTTATAACACAGATAATACCATTTTATAACATTGTATGACCAAGATTGATAAAACAGAACCTCATTTTTTATTTAATATAACCCCTAATAAATGACTGAACCCTTCAACTCAGCAGTTTAGCTATGAGATTCGATTCAATTCAATTCAATATTATTTATTTCATGAAAAATCGCAACAACAATCACCTCAAGGCTCTTTTTATTGTAATGCAAAGACCCTAGAATTTTAGAGAGAAACCCCAACTATCAAACCGCCTATGAGCAAGCACTTGGTGACAGTGGAAAAGAAAAACTACCTTTTAATAGGAAGAAATTTTGGCATAACCTGGCTCAGGGAGGGGCCACCGTCTGCTCCAACCGTTTGGGGGTGAGGGGAAAAAACAGGATGTTATTTTCCCATGAACTGCTATAGGACAACAAGTCTTTGTTCAACTCAAGTTATCACCATAGTGTGGCAGGTTTTTAGGCACAACTGCATTGACTTAATTTTTTTGACCTGGAAGTTATGTCCACGTTTAATACTCCCTGTGGTTCTAAGATAAACTTGTGTCAACTTTGAGTTGGATGATATGGCAGGGTGATGAATCCAGAAGGTTACCAGGGCAAGCTGAGCCTAGAATGTTGTTGGTGACCAAACCTAAGCAACAAAATGATGTGCAATGAACAAATAGCTTCCTGTGTGGACACCCTTTTACTTTCATTTTTAGCGTCTCCTATCCTCTTATTACATTTTTCTGATTCTCTTTTTTGCACATTTTATGCACCAGTTGTTTAAGTTATTCATTCAGCGTTTTTTATTTACTCATGGTTAAAAATCTGTAATTGGTCATATTTGACTTTTGTAACCCCCTGACCTTTCTTGTTTTATTTGCACTTGCCTTTAAAATACATCATCATGTAAAAAGCATGTCTGTAAAAGCTCCTCAAGAATAACTTAAGTAATTTTTAAAATAATCTAATCTAATGGGATTATCAGATAAACAACTGCAGTCAATACATGCAAAACTACCGTCATTTGTATCAGCTTCAGCTGTCCTTGGTGACATTTACCAGGAATTAGCATGTCATGGAAATGAAAAGGTAACTTCAAAGATGAAGACAATGACCATTGACTCTGTTTCCTTTTATCTGGAAGCACCAGTTTAGTCTCTGTCTCAATCAATTCCTGTTTTACCAAAAATAATTGGAAACTGTGATAACTGCCCCCCTGTGTGATAACTCACATTATCACATGTTTGTACACATATTGTTTCATAAGTGGCCTTCAGTATTTGAGTACCTATTCTGGCAGGGTATTAACCTGTCTCACCTCTCACTTCTGGTTAAAGCTGGCTGACGGCGGGCAGGAAATCAGAGCTCCGAACTTCATGTTACAGGAAGCCATGGAAAGATAACACACATATACAAATAAACCTATTGTGTGTCAGTAGTTATTTTAGAGCAGAATATTTATACCACTGTTTATGTGCGAACTTGTTTCTATAGTGCACCTTTTGGAGGAATTACAATAAAATGTATGTCAGTAATCATCACACAAAATGAGCTGACTAGAATTGATATACTTATATTATTTAATCTTTACAACAACTTAAAATACAGATAATAAAAATTACATAGTAAGTTCAATCTTTGCAATAGTCTTAATTTTGTTTACCAAAAATAGTATATATTTCAACTTTAAACTCTGACTTTAGTATTTTTTTATGGAGAAGGGTAATTTATTCCAAAGTTTTAAGGTGCAATGTGTAAAGTTTTTTTTTTTTGTTCTTATGTTTTAACATTCAGAATAACTTCATATCTTTGATTAGCATAACCATGAACGAGCGTAACAAAAGTTTCATGTGATGGAGCAGTTCTTCTTATCATTATACAGGTACATGAGTGGTAAAGATAAACAATCCACTCTTACTGGAACATTAACTATTTTATTCTACACATTTCATTAAAATGTTTGTCAGTGTGGATAGTGTTTGATAGATAGGGGTGACTGCATAGACTTTTCTGAAGGCCCTTACTGAGTTATTATTATGCTTATTCAAAGTTGGAGTAGATCAGGACACAACATTTTCTTTTCTATTGTTAAAAATATTTTTTTCCACTAATATGATTTTTAAAATTTGTTTTTTAAGATGGCTATGCTCATAAATGTTGGTCAAAACTTTACTTTGTAAGTAAAGTTTGCACTATTAGTTGAGCTAATAGCAGAGCAAATATATTTGACACACAGGTTTCTAACTTGTTAAGTTGTTGGTTACTGCAAAAAGGAGACTTTCAGTTTTTCCTAGATGGCGTTAAAATTTATTTTTCTCATTTCTGACACAACTTAAGGTCAATATCTGTATTGACCTTAAGTTGTTAATATCCTAAGATGTAGGATTATCTTCATATAGAAAAATTACAAACATTACATTTTTCATTTTCTATATCTTTTTCAGGGTCCAAGAAGAAGACAAAGGTCATCAAAAACAATCCTAACCCTGTGTGGAATGAGGTAAGTCCCCCATTAAGCCACAAATTCATCAACCCATCATCTGTTAAAGTTCCTAGGTGTGTGATAATGCAATGTCAAATATTAAGTATATTTTAATTATTAATGTGAGAATAAGTTATAACCTAATTTAAAAGTAAGGCATTGCTTGGTCTCTGTAAAGGACTCAAAGTGGAAAATGCAGGATGAGTCTCTTGCATACAGTCCTGGAGTCCTCATCAAAGTGAAGCAGCCATAGATTCATATAGAAACTCAAAATACACCCAAAAATAACTGAAAACAAAAAAAAAAGATCTAGTGAAGATATAAAGATAATGTTTTATTTGTTAGAATGGCAGCAGTCTTGCAATTTAGGTAAGTCTGTTGTTATGTTACATTATTCTACCATTGGGTCCTAACAATGCTAGTTTTGACTGCTTCTTTATTCATATCTGGTCGCAACATCAGGCCGCTCAAAGTGAGTAAAATAATTTGCTACCTGAAAGTTAGATCTGACTTGGAAATTTGTAATAATTAACATAAATGCTTAAGATAGAAATTTGCCGTATGTAGTCAGCAATTTGCAATTAACATGAAAGTTAACATTAGCTAACATTAGTCAGAAAAAAAAACTGTTTGATTTTACTTACACAAGCCTGTATGAATGATGTTTTGGGAATTCAAATCAACCGTGAATTGACTTTCCCCTGGGTTAGCTTACCACCTATCTAGCTTACCCTAAAAACACAACTCAGTGCATTTAGTAAGTTTGCAACATTACGAGCTGGTGAAATTGTGACAACATCTCTGTATGGGAGCAAAATAACCAGACCAAAAAATTATTTGCAATACTGCAGTAAAGTTAGAAGTACTTCACAAATATAATGCAATAAAGGTGCAGTAAGGATATTACAAAATATCATCATTAAAATATTCTGCCTATAAGATCCCATTTTCACTCTTTTTTCTTTTAACATTTCTTTCCTTTGTGTCCGTCAGGGTTTTGAGTGGGATCTGAAGGGGATTCCTCTGGACTCTGGAGCTGAGATTCACTGTGTTGTTAAAGATCATGAGAAAATGGGGAGAAACAGGTACTGTGTGCTATGCTAATTATATGCATTCAGATGGGGCATCAAAACACTGAAGAAATATAAGGCATTTCATTTACACAAAATGACCCTTTAATAAACTTCTTTAAGTGGTTTTCCTTTTATAGGCAGGCAAGTGTCATAACTCAGATGGTGACAGATCTTATCATTAGAGATTTCCAAAAAAGAGGCATAATTGTTTTAAACAAGAAAAATGGATCAAACCCATAAATACAACTGAAGAGTAAAAGGGAAAGGTCTGTTTTAAACTCCAAACATAAACGGGCTATATTTACTTTTAATCACTCATCACTGACAGCTGTTTGTAAATCATTTTAAACTTTGTGCTGGCCAACAGACAGATAAAGAGGCGATATGTACAAATCACCCCTGGGATAATAAATTTAGGATTGTCATACTAAGTTTAAATAGATGGAGCTGCACATTGTCACAGTAGCGATGTGGCCAGTGGACCCCTCAGTGGGTTATTTTTGGATTGTTTCACTCGATCAAGATGTCAGGCCAGTCAGAGTTCTTTCGGAAGGGAAGGGACAGGAACGAAAGAATCAGGTCTTCCCCTCATTGTGGTATTTATTCTGCCAAATTCCCACCCATTCACTCTCTGTTGTGCTGAAAGATGAATGGATCCATAAATCAGCCACTCAAATTACAGTGGAACTTGACTGTGTCTCAGCTCTCAGCATGAATCCATTATCGTTGTACTGAGTATTTGTTTTCTAAGGAGCTTCAAGAAAAGCGATTGGTCGTCTTTAAGTTTCCTGAAGACGTTTCACCTCTCATCTGAGAAGCTTCTTCAGTTACCCACTACTGATCATGTGCCTCACCACATGAGCCAAAGTGTGAAAAAAGGCATGGGTCATGAGTTTTCCAATGAAACCATTGTGAGACCTTGCTACACCCTATCATGTGACTTATTGAGATCACCTAAAGCAAGATGGGATTGGGGGTTGAGGCGCCTGTGGAAGGGATCTCAAAACTGCGTTGTAGGTGGCAGACCACCTCCTCTAATCAAAGATGGTCATTCACAGTGGGGATAGATAGCCTCTTGAGGGACAACTCCCACTGGAGTTTAAATGCCATTTGGTTTTAGGACTGCAGGAGTTTCTCAGATGAGACATGAAACATCTTCGAGAAACTTAAAGAAGTCAAGTCGCTTTTTGTTTCATAGCTGGATAGAGTACCATGACCTGGATGACTGAGAACTTACACAGCATTTTTGTTTGTTTTTTTTGTTGTCGGTGATTTTCTATTCACCTGGACTTAATGTGTGAAGTACATATTTGTCATTTTGGGGTGTATTTGCTTTACCATTTTTCCTTTGATCTCTCTAGGTATTACAACTTTGCTTGACAATGTTGTACAGTAACAAAAATAACCACCAAGGTTGGGGAATAAATGTTGTAAGATGTCAGAAAATGACTGTGAATGGGGAAACAGGGAAACTAAGAGTTTATCAGAGACTAGGCACAGGTACAACACCGTTAGCGTCATGTGGTGAGAGCCGTAATTCAGTCCTTGAAGTCTATAACAGATGGATATCACCAAATACTGGGTTTCCTTCTTTGAGATGCTTTGCCAGATAATGCATCTCATTATTGGAGACTTTGGCAATGGCATGCATGCCTCCTCAAGAGTGTACGTGCTTTGGCCAGATGTTGGGAAGAGTTTTTTTTGTTTTGTTTTTTTAACGAAGGAATGAATTTTGGGATCATCAACTTTTCTTGGTTGTTGCTGAGCTGGTTAGTGCATTCCTAATTTTTAAGAATTTACCAGTCCTAAAGTTTTCTTTCTCTTTCTGATATGTTTATTTGATTTTTTTCAGCCCAATGGTGGCTGACATATTAATGTTGTCATTTCTTTGATTCTCATACTGGGACTTCCAGGGAAAATGTACTTGGGATCAACTCCAGCTGTGTCTTTAAAGATGTTATTTTGTAAATAACACAGTTGTGTTTAAGATCCATCTCTGTGTTTCTGGTGTGTGTCTCTTTCAGGTTTCTGGGGGAGTGTCGGCTAGGTCTTAGAGATGTGCTCAACTCTCCCAATTTCGCCGCCACCTTCACCGTCTCCTTGCTGGACACCAAGAGGAACAACACAGGGGTGAGCACACGGAACTGCACTGACTGATTAATCTGCAGCCTAACTGCGTCACAAGTCGATTATAAATGACTCCAAGTTTCCTCTTTTGAGCTTAAAATAAAGTGAGCAACATTTCTGAATCATAGTTGATTTGTTATTTCCTTCTTTGGGATCCTTAATAAAAAAAGAAGAATCAGAAACACAAAAATGTCTCTCCACAATAAATAAAATGAACTATAAATAACTGCAATTGATTTTATTAGATGGGTTTTTTGCTAATCTGCTGACTAAGGCTGATCAGGTCTGTAATGTCAAGAAAAATGGTCGACAGGTGGTTAGTGGGTGGGTCTTGGACTTGATGAGGCACTGATGTGTTCATGTGCTGCTGGGGAAATCCAACGTGGTTTTTCTGTATCACCCTGAATACGTTTATATTTCTTGTACTTTTTTGTTGGAAAATATGAACTCATGAGCTCAAAATTAGGCAAAGGTCTTGCTGGAAGCAAGAGATGTTCTTTATGTTTTTCCTCTTTTTCAGTTTGTTCCAAGTATGTGATCAGCACTATTTATCTTATATCAGCAATGTTATGTCAAATTTAATTAACTCTAGTAAGCACTGGTACCACACTGCAAGAAAGTCCTAGCTTGCATTTTCTCTCCGTTCTGCATGTATTCTCTGAGGGTCCTTATGGCAGCTGGGATATTGTATTCTAGAATACAGACACCTAGAATACAGTATCTATTACTGGCTAGCATTACTGGAGTCTTTTTCTTTTTTTAAAATAAAAAAAACACTTCTAATGATGAGAAACCTTCAGCAGCTGATGGTTATTCAGTGATGAAATGCTTGATTTTCTTTTTCCTCTAATTATGCAACATTGCTCTATGGAGACCCACATTGACATAATACAGGTGTCGCCTAGAAAACCAGTCATCACAGCTACAGGTCTAACCCAACACCAACTAAAATAAAATTGTTCAGTAGTTTTAGTTTCCAAAAGAGCTCAAACTCAAATTGGTCTTTTAGTAGAAGATGCAGAAGTATAAGATCTGGGCACGCACACACACACACATGCACGCACACACCTTGGCAGCCAAACCTACAGTGTTTTATAGCAGCAAATGAAACACTGTTCTCTTCCCCATCCTTGCTTCCTGAAGCCAAAACAAAGTCTTCCTGTCACTGTCAGACTGGACCTGATTGATGCCACATACATGTGCGCACACCCACACCCACACACACACTGTATGGTATGGACAATGTGTGATTTATCAGGTTTTTTCTTCATTAGTCATAGAAAGCAAACTCTGTTATAAACAAAAATGAAACTAATATTATTTCTTCAAAGATTTCTTGATGCATCTGCCCTTACAACTGTTTGCTTCCACAAACAAAATCTTACACAGATTCAGTGAGATAGACCCAAGAAAAACATGTCAAGATATTCACATTCTTAACATCTACTCCATAGAAACTGTAGTCTGACCAGACTTGGACACGCCGAGTCTGATGAGTTTGTTTACAGAAACATAACAGCTTATCACTTAAGCTGCTTTTTCCTGTTGAAGGAAACAGTAGAAGCCACCCCTGTTACCACAGGGTAACTCATCTTGATTACAGTGTGCAGGAAACAGGTCTTTTCTGGTGGTGGTGGTGGTGGTGGTGGTGGTGAGGTTAAATGCCACTTTGAGTTTGGGTAGAGAACCATAAGTGAAGAACCGTGGGCTCGTCCAGGATTTAAACCAGGGACAACTTGCACTTTAAACTTGAACCAGACCAGTGAAACGGTTCTTTCTGCCAGTGTGCAGAAGTTTAACTACATATTTAATCCCTGAGATATCTTATATACAAAAGTGAAGTACTATTTCAACTGAAGGAAAGTCAGCACAACTCTTTGAGCTTAAATTTTAAGAATTAAATGTGTTAAACTACAGAAATCTATCATTTAATTACTTTGGTGAAATACAAATGGCTACAGGGGAGGTCTTTATCAGTAGGAAAAGTTGTAACTTATACAAATAAACTATATAATTACACAATTAAAAGTCCAACTATTATGTTCTCCTTTGCATTTTCCGAAAGCGATCCAGTGTCCCAGACTGGAGTCTTTGCCAGGCCAAGTCATGTTTGACACCCCTGCCCTAGACCAATGAGCCACATGTTTTATGCATAATTTGTGCTGAGGTGTATGATGAAGTGAAATTCTCTAAGTTTAATTAAAACCAACTTGTAGGGCACAAAAACCCCCAAAACAAATAAAACTGCTAAAAAGTGCCTCAAAAGGCCTGTAGAGGCACTAATATAAGTCACGACTTCCTGTCTTAAAAGCTTAAACTTAACAGCATTAATCACAGCCTGGTTTAAATAACTGTTTTGGCCTCGTTGGATAGTTTCCACCACCAAAACAACTGAACACAGAGTGAAATGCTTTTATAACTCAGTCTTGCATCAGTTTTAGTAAATCTGAAGGTAGGGTGGCTAACTCTGTCTCTAAGCCTAACCCTAATTTAAGGATGATACAGGTGAATAGCATGGGTAGCATAAAGGCCACTGCAGTTAAGTTACTTATTAAGTGCCATCCGCTGACCTGCTCTTCCATCATCTTTTACTGTACTTTCTCCAGAGACATATACAAGTGTCCAATGCATTCACTTCCTCTTTGCCTTCTTATGTATGATTAGTTCCAGCTGAGTGTGCACCTGTTCGCCCTCCTCTCGTTATCCTGCCTGTGTATTTAAGTCCTCAGTCCTCAGGCCACAACAACAAACAGAGGACCGTTTGTTGTTGTGACCTCCACATTTGCTGTGTGTTCTTGCGTAAACACCATGTTCTCTAGCCATGTCATGAAATGTCAAGTGCAAGATTTTTAGTTCTAGTTTATCTTTTCTTTGTTTTCTTTCAGCGCTCATATACCTAGTTTTAGTTTGTGTTCTCCAGCAATAAAGCTGCCACCTTTAGTTAAGCATTTTGTCTCCAAGCCCTGCGTTTGGGTTCTACATTCTGCCTGCCACACAGCCAAACATGACAGATCTTCTACAAATTGTGTTTTCTGCCTCCCATAGGCCACGCTGACCCTGCAAGTTTCCTACCTTCCTCCTCCAGGATCGGCTCCGATGTTTCAGCCTCCTCCCCAGCTGGAGCCTCAGCCTCATAACAATCCTAGTGTGGAGCTGGACACAGTCACAAGTAACCTCAGCGTGTCATGTAGTGAAACAATAATCGCAGTGGTGTGAAAAAGTGTTTATCCCTTTCAAGATGCTGTGTTACTTTTACAGCAGATGTAATGACACACACACATTTTGGTCAGCTGACCACTCCTGGGAGGGGTCACCACTGTTTCAAGTTTTCTCCATTTGTGGCTAATGTCTCTCACTGTGGTTCACTTGAGTCCCAAAGCTATAGAAATGCTTTATAACCTTTTCCAGACTGAGAGATCTCAATTACTTTGTTTCCCATTTGTTCCTGAATTTCCTTGGGTTGTGGCTCCATGTCTGGCTTTTCGTCTACACCACTTTGTCAGGCAGGTCCTATTTAAGTGATTTCCTCAATCACGTTTTCACACAGGTTTTTTCCTCCTTTAATAATAAACACCTTCATTTAGAAACTGAACTGCATTTTGTATTTACTTATTATCTTTATCAAATATCTAAACTTGTCTGATGATCTGACACATTTATGTGTAAAACAAAAACATACAAACACACTGGAAGAGTGCAAACACTTTTTCACACCACTGTATGTTTTTTCCCCTTCTTCTGTTTCCATTTGCCCAACCCAGTGTCTCCATTTTGTTAGTTTACCCCAAGATTTATTTCCTGGGACTACTTTCTGTGCAGTGATCTCTCTAGATACTTTGGGCGAGGAGGATACAGAGAGTATGATGATGCTTGAGCCCACAGAGGACCAGGGAGCAGACGATGGACGCTCCATGGTGATAATTGGTCCTCAGGGGCCCCCGGGCCAGGAATCCCCCACCGCCCAGACGCCCAAGCGTTCACCGCCATCCTACCACACCCAAGGAGGGCTGAGGAAGAGGAGGAGAGGAGCCAGCAGTCAGCCCAAACAGCTACCCAACAAACCACAGGATCTACAGGTTAGTTACAATACTTAAAAAAGACACATTAAAGGAATACTTACACTCCATACATGTTGCTGTCCACACGGGGCGATCGTGGCTCAAGAGTTGGGAGTTCGCCTCGTAATCAGAAGGTTGCCAGTTCGAGCCCCGGCTTGGACAGCCTTGGTCGTTGTGTCCTTGGGCAAGACACTTCACCCGTTGCCTACTGGTGGTGGTCAGAGGGCCCGGTGGCGCCAGTGTCCGGCAGCCTCGCCTCTGTCAGTGTGCCCCAGGGTGGCTGTGGTTACAATGTAGCTTGCCATCACCAGTGTGTGAATGTGTGTGTGGATGTGTAAAGCGCTTTGGGGTCCTTAGGGATTTACCATTTACGTGTCCTTGACCAGATTCGTGTGCGGGTCATTAAGGGACGACAGTTGCCGGGCATCAACATTAAACCTGTTGTTAAGATAGCAGTTGCCGGGCAGTCCAAGAGGACCCGAATCAGAAAGGGGAACAACCCAGTCTTTGATGAGGTGAGTAAATGTTTTTGCCAGTATGCTTGTCTTGATAACTTTCTTTTTTTGCACTGTACTGCTTTTTAGTATAACTTTACATGTTACTTTTTACTCAAACTTCAACTTGCATTTATTTCCCTCCACAGACTTTCTTCCTGAACTTCTTCGAGACGCCCTCAGACTTGTTTGACGAACCCATTTTCATCACTGTGAGTGTGACGTTTTTCTCTTTTTTTTATTTGTTTACCTTGAATAAATCAAGCATGTGGGAGAAATTCAACACTATCAGCGTTTCTTATTTTTATCAGAGTTATAATCTTTCTCTTTTTCAGGTATGTGACTCTCGTTCGCTTAGAACCGATGCCGTGATAGGTGAATTCAAGGTAAACTGCCAGGCTTAGAGCTTTAACTTGAGTCTATGATTTCTATGAATATTGGACTGTGGTGTACTGTGAGATAAATTGGGGGGGGGGGCACATGTCCTTTGGAAATTAGAAGAACTCAAACATCTGTTTTCCACAGATGGATGTAGGCACCATCTACAATGAGCACAGTGAGTATATGTTTGTATGATTTAAACATTTTTAGGTGTATTTGCTTGAAAAAGATAAACAAAGATCTAAATGCTAAACTGTAAATTATGTCAGATTAATCATCAGTCTGATGACATTTTTCATTTACTTAGCTTTTAGCCATTTATTCAGGCAGCTAGCATTCTCACCTCACCTCACAGCAAAAGGGTTCCTGGGCTTGTCCCCTGACTTTTTCCCTTGTGATAGCCGGGAAAGGCTCCAGCATCCCTATGACCCTGATTTGGATACGTGGTTATGAAAAAGTATGAGTGAAGAGCTGTTCTCACACATTAGCACAGCTGCTGTTCTACACAACAACCTGGCAAATGAAAACTTGACAAATGTTAAAACGGTCTTTAACCTGCCAGGTCCAGAGACTTTGTGATGTCAGATTGAGTCAGGGTGCAAATGCAGTTAACTGTCCAGTGTATTCAACACTAGCAAGTTAGAGTCAGGTGTGCTGCCTACTGCTTGTGTCCATTTAGTTAAACCACACATGGAGTATTTCCAGGTATGAAAATGTTTCTGAACCATTAGATGATGTCACCCACCTGTTTTTTGAACCCTCTGTGGTAATTGTTTTTGCTGCTGCCATGCTGTTTTTGGACCAGAAATAACGATATCTGGATAAGAAGTTGGAGTGCGAAGTTATCAGCTAAAGCTAGCAAGCTTGGATGGAGAGCTGTATTCATAGACCTCACAAGCTGTAACATCTCACTTTAAAGGGTCCAGCAAACATTTATACAAGTGTTAAGAGAACAAAAAGCAAAACAAAACATATTTGAATGTATTATCATTGACTGTCAGGACAGTCAAAATTAAAATATTTGAAGATATATTCATATCAGTGATACTGATGTGTTAAAATCCATTAAGTCTGTCAAACAATGATGCTTACAGCTAAATAGGAATCCAGGGTGACGATTATATATAATATTTAGAAAATCAAGATCATTTTTTGGTCCATGCCAATCAGGAAGCCATGTTTTTGTCACATGCCCCACAGGTTGCAGCTTGGTGTCATTATGTCTTGCTTTGTGTGAGAAAGGATAAACGTGAAAAGTTTCTCCTGACGTGTATCAAAGCTGCTTTTGTTTATCCTGAATTTACAAGCTTCTGGCTTTAAACCTCTCTCTTCCTCCCCTCTTTTCAGGGCACTGCTTCTTGAGGAAGTGGCTTCTGCTTTGTGACCCTGACGACCTCTCTGCTGGGGTCAAAGGCTACCTGAAGGTCAGCTTGTTTGTCTTAGCAGCTGGAGATGAGCCACCGGTGAGTTTCATACTCTTTTACAAGATAGTCCTAGAAGGCTATGAGGTCAATCAAGTAACATGAGTTGTTCTATTTTTACATGGTTGTGCTTTTTCTGTGCAACTCATTATCACAAGTGAATATTTGTACTTTAATGTGATTGCAGGCTGATAAACGTGAGTGTGTGGAGGATAAAGAGGATGTAGAATCAAACCTGTTGAGGCCTGCAGGTCTTTCTTTGAGAGGAGCCTCGTTCAACCTGAGGATCTTCAGAGCTGAAGACCTGCCACAGAGTGAGTCTCTGTTGTTATTCTATGCACATTTGATAAGCTTGAAAAAAAAATATATATATATGTATAGAGATTCCTAATATGCTTCTCTGTCTGAAGTGGACGATGCCTTCATGGATGGGATGAGGCAGATTCTTGGCTTTGATAGCAACAGGAAGAATCTGGTGGATCCTCTGGTGGAGATTCACTTTGCTGGCAAAACGGTGCATATGACTCTATAGAAGTTCACTACATTGACTAAAATGATTGTTAGTCAACAACCAAATAAAATAAAACTGGAAAGCGAATACGTTTTTAGTTAATAAAAACAAATGTGGATTGTCTTTTTTTTCGAGGTCAGATTTGCACGAAGACTTTGGAAAAGAATGCCAATCCACAGTGGAACCAGCGCCTGGCCATGCCAGTCAGAGTAAGAAATAAAGACAGACAATTCTTGTGCCAAGAAGTTGTATTTTCATTGTCACTAGAAAGTACATGGTTTTTTTTTCTTTCTTCTTCCCAGTTTCCTTCCATGTGTGAGAAGATGAGGATCAGAATTCTGGACTGGTGATTTTCAGCTAAAATCTCCCTTTCTCACATTTGTTCATCAAACTTAGCATCATTATCAATATTATTTTGACCTCTTTATAAGAAGGGACTGTTGTGGAGACCCACACCAAAAAATAGGGGTGGGCAGTTAATTTTCCACATGAGGAACTGGGACTGTTGTGGAGTGCCACACCAATAAGCTGAAGCTGGCCCACCACAACAGTCCTAGTATGTCATGTAGAAATAGAAAAATTAATTATCCCACCACGCCCTAGTGTATAAGATACATTTTGACCTATGTCATTTTGACCTATGCGCTTTGCATCCTTCTATGGCTTTCTCATTTTAGGGATAGAGCCAGTCACAACGACGTTATCGGCACCACCCACCTCTGTATGTCCAAGATCTCCGCCCCCGGAGGAGAGATAGATGGTGAGTAACTAGACTCTACCTGACCAGATCAGATTAGGCTGGTTCAGGCTGGATTTAAACTGCACCAGAGTGTTGAAACTTCCCTGGTTTGATTACTGACATCCAGTGATAATCACACTGTTTGAAGTGTTTAACATCACATTCAGCTCTGCCTGAAAGCAGTTAGCATTAGATTAGGGAAAATGTCCAACAAGTTTTAGAGATATTTTCAGCGAGGTTTCAGCTGATCATACAGGTCAAAATAAGGTTTTTATCAACTTCAACTTTATTCTTGAGCCACAAAACTATAAAAACCTTAGTTCTGTCTTCTATTTATATAAATGTGTGTAATTTGACCGGTTTAAACATGAGTGAAACAGCACTGTCTACACTGACAGGATACCAGTTAAACTGTTTCCTAAAGACAGCTGCAGCCTGCTTCATTTTGTTTCATGGATTATCCTTGTGCTAGTTATCACCAAACAGACCTACAGTGGTTGCTGCGGTAAAGTTTCTGGGGAGGTGTATGACAGACTACAGTGAAGTTCTACACCCTACAGGGTAAAAGTGAACACAGTACTATAGATCAAACACTGAGCTTTATTCTGTTTATTTTTTTTAACACGTCAGCTCAGGAAATGACCCAGTTTGATCGGTATGGTTGATACTCCCTGCAAACACTTAAGCTATTAACTTAGTACCCTCAGGAGCTGCAGCCTGAATCAGTAGATGCATCTATTAGACTTTAAACAACTTCTGCCATGGTGTGTGTGCAATGTTTACACCATTCGCTCACACGTTTACTTGAACCTGAACAATTAGACGTGATAACTGTTTGTCTCAGGTGCTGCTGTCTGTGTTCACAACAGACTTTTCCACTCGCTCTGATGAAATGTTTTGCTAACCTTGTTGACTGTGTGCTTCGACAGCAGTTCTACTGGATAAGTTGTTTTTGAATAAGCAAAACCATCCAAGTGGTGCATATTATAGGATTTCCCTTCCCCCTTTGTTGTGCACACAACACAATTAGTATTACTGACACTATTAAAACTGAGATTTTGACTGTGTTGAAGGAATGCCTTCAAGTGTGTGCAGCTTTGAAATACACCACTTTAACTGAATGCATCACTTTATAGTTTATGGCTTTGCTAGTGTG